CCCACTTCCCCCATGCATCCATCCATCCCGCGTACCCGTTCTAAGGCCCTCTGTGTCTCTCCGTAGTTGTCTTCCTGTGAGCTTATCTGGAGGCGATACTCCCCCCGCCGAAGGAACCCCAATGATGACATCAGCGACATGCTGCCGCACTATGCCAAACCGAAAAGAGAGCTTTCGGAGCTCCTGGCTGAGAGTCCTACCCATGGACACAGCCGTTATGTGCATGTTGGTGGCGGGCGACGCATCTACATAATTATTACATACATACCCACACATGGCATCACAGTCGACCCATGGATCACGGACGAATCTCAGCTGCGCTCGCTGCCCACGCCTCTTGCTCACCTTGCGCGCCGCGTCGAGGTCGGCTTTTGTCCACCCCAGCTCGTCTCGAAGGTGTCCCAGCTCCCGCTCCACATATCGGGCGTTGGCGGTGATCTGCTCCTTGTAGTCTGAGATGATGCCCTTGTAGAATCTCCGCTCCTCCTCGAGCAGCCACCTGACGGCAGCACTGTCGACCTGCTGCTGCAACACACCAAAGAAGCGACAAGGCGTAAGTAAGGCAACCAACAAGAGAGAGAGAGGAGGCGACGCACACCGATGTATGTATATTCTCACCTGGTGTCTGGCGGGCGGGGTGCTCTGCCTCCAGGCGTTGAAGACTGCCGCCAGAAGGAGCCGAGGGCCCCAGACGTCTCCTGCACACATAAGGGAGGGAAGCGTGGACGCATAGAAAGCAATGAGAAGGGAGGCGACATAACCAGGAGTTCGGTGAGGTCGGCGCGTTGGCTGACAAGTGCCTTCGATCCCTCGGCGAGCCTCCTCCTTCGCGCCGCGTCCTTGTTCACCTTCTTGTTCATCCTGGCCCGCTGCTGAATGAGACGCTGCCGCTGCTCCTCGGCCGCCTCCTCGAACCTGACCGACGGCAACACAAACACACACACACATCAATTCAATGAGTGCATGTGTGTCGACCCGGCTTGCCCCGCTCACGTACGTATTCATTGCGTAGAGGGTGCGCTCTTGGTCCTCGTCGGCAGCTTCCTGGAGCGACACGATCTCGTGCTCGAGCGTGGTGACTTTGATGCGGCTGTTGGCCAGCTCTGTGGTCAGACGGCTGACGTACGTCACATACAACACACACGAGGGAGAGAGGGAGGGAGGGAGGGAGGGCGGGAGAGAGCGGGTGTAGGTGTGAGTGGGAATGAGTCCATTCACATGTGTGTGTGGTGCTCACCTGATGGTGGCGCCGTGCTGCTGTTTGAGCTGCTCCAACATTGCGACTCGACTGCACACACAGCAGAACAAAGGCCACACACAGAGACGAATGCGATGTCGAATGCGATGTCGGTGTGGGGGGAGAGGGTCCAGCGGGCATTTGCGGCATCGCAGCTATCGCCTTGGTCAAGTCCGCCTCCAGGTGCACGTGTGGGCAAGGTGTGTATGGACGGACGGACGGACGGACAGACACATACATCATGCATAAGA